CAGGCTACAAGCCTGGTCCAGCAACTGGCTCCTTGAATTTAACCCTGACAAATGCAAAGTCATGAAGACTGGGGAAGGGCAAAGAAGACCGCAGACAGAGTATAGTCTACGTTTACCTGGAGTTTACCTGGAGAGAGTTCCGGGGGTCAACGCCCCCGCGGCCCGGTCTGTGACCAGGCCTCCTTAGGTCAGTGTCCCAGGATGCGACCCACACCAGTCGACTAACACCCAGGTACCCATTTTACTGATGGGGAACATAGACAACAGGTGGAAAGAAACACGTCCAATGTTTCTACTCTGGCTGGGAATCGAACCCAGGCCCTCACCGTGTGAAGCGAGAGCGTTAACGTGGCCAAAGACTGCAAACCTCGCTCAAGAAAAAAGATCTTGGGGTGAGTATAACACCGAACACATCTCCTGAGGGGCACATCAATCAGATAACTGCTGCAGCGTATGGGCGCCTGGCAAACCTAAGGATAGCGTTCCGATACCTCAGTAAGGAATCGTTCAAGACTCTGTACACCATTTACGTCAGGCCCATACTGGAGTATGCAGCACCAGTTTGGAATCCACACCAGGTCAAGCACGTCAAGAAATTAGAGAAAGTACAAAGGTTTGCAACAAGACTAGTCCCAGAGCTAAGGGGACTGTCCTACGAAGAAAGGTTGAGGGAAATCGGCCTGACGACACTGGAGGACAGGAGGGTCAGGGGAGACATGATAACGACATATAAAATACTGCGCGGAATAGACAAGGTGGACAAAGACGGGATGTTCCAGGGAGGGGACACAGAAACAAGAGGTTACAATTGGAAGGTGAAGAATCAGATGAAGCAAAGGGATGTTAGGAAGTATTTCTTTAGTCACAGAGTTGTCAGGCCGTGAATAGCCTAGAAAGTGACGTAGTGGAGGCGGGAACCATACATAGTTTTAAGACGAGGTATGATAAAGCTCATGGAGCAGGGAGAGAGAGGACATAGAAGCAATCAGTGAAGAGGCGGGGCCAGGAGCTATGAATCGACCCCTGCAACCACAAATAGGTGAGTACAGATAGGTGAGTACAGATAAGTGAGTACACACACACACACCCACACACACACACACACACACACACACACACACACACACACACACACACACACACACACACACACACACACACAAAATTATTTAGTGGAATCCATGCCCGCTTATACAACAAACAATACAGTGAAATATATATTTATGAATATATATACAAAATGTATGTGTAATAAATACATAGGTTTGGAACCCGTGATGTTTGGTTGCCTGGTGGTGAGCGAGACTCACGCGCCATACATAGGTTTGGTACCCGTGATGTTTTGGTTGCCTGGTGGTGAGCGAGACTCACGCGCCATACATAGGTTTGGAACCCGTGACGTTTTGGTTGCCTGGTGGTGAGCGGACTCACGCGCCATACATAGGTTTGGAACCCGTGATGTTGGTTGCCTGGTTGGTGAGCGAGACTCACGCGCCATACATAGGTTTGGAACCCGTGATGTTTGGTTGCCTGGTGGTGAGGAGACTCACGCGCCATACATAGGTTTGGAACCCGTGATGTTTGGTTGCCTGGTGGTGAGCGAGACTCACGCGCCATACATAGGTTTGGAACCCGTGATGTTTGGTTGCCTGGTGGTGAGGAGACTCACGCGCCATACATAGGTTTGGAACCCGTGATGTTTGGTTGCCTGGTGGTGAGCGAGACTCACGCGCCATACATGGGTTTTGGGAAAACCCGTGATGTTTGGTTGCCTGGTGGTGAGGAGACTCACGCGCCATACATAGGTTTGGAACCCGTGATGTTTGGTTGCCTGGTGGTGAGGAGACTCACGCGCCGCTCTAACACTGGACTGTGAGTCAGATATTTCTCGAGGTATAAAATCACTCATCCTTCACAGTGAGCTGTGAGGGTAAGAAAAGACATTTGCTTGGCTTCTCTGAGAGCCTCAACGTACCTCTTCCTAAAGCTCTGTATGAATCTTGCCTCCACTACCCTACAGGCCAAGTCCTCCATCTTCCTGAATAATCTGAGACTAAAGAAGTACTTCCTGACATCTGTGTTTTTAAGTTCCAGGTGGGATCTCGTGCACCAGTTTCCCTTTTCTCAGTCTGTTCTTGTCCACACTATCAGTTCCCTCATAGTACTGTCTACGTTGTTATCATATCACCCCCAGTCACTTTCCTCTAGTGTGATCAAGTTTGACTCCCTAAACCCCTTCTCAACAGTACTACAGTACCTGTAACAGTACTACAGTACTTGTAACAGTACTACAGTACCTGTAACAGTACTACAGTACTTGTAACAGTACTACAGTACCTGTAACAGTACTACAGTACTTGTAACAGTACTACAGTACCTGTAACAGTACTACAGTACTTGTAACAGTACTACAGTACCTGTGACAGTACTACAGTACTTGTAACAGTACTACAGTACCTGTAAACAGTACTCCCGTACTTGTAACAGTACTACAGAAACCTGGGCAGTTACTACAGTACTTGTAACAGTACTACAGTACCTGTAACAGTACTACAGTACTTGTAACAGTACTACAGTACCTGTGACAGTACTACAGTACTTGTAACAGTACTACAGTACCTGTAACAGTACTACAGTACTTGTAACAGTACTACAGTACCTGTGACAGTACTACAGTACTTGTAACAGTACTACAGTACCTGTAACAGTACTACAGTACCTGTAACAGTACTACAGTACTTGTAACAGTACTACAGTACCTGTAACAGTACTACAGTACCTGTAACAGTACAACAGTACCTGTAACAGTACTACAGTACTTGTAACAGTACTACAGCACCTGTAACAGTACTACAGTACCTGTAACAGTACTACAGTACCTGTAACAGTACTTACAGTACTTTGTAACAGTACTAACAGTCCCTGTAACAGTACTACAGTACTTGTAACAGTACTCCCAGTACCTGTAAAGTACTACAGTCCCTGTAACAGTACTACAGTACCTGTAACAGTACTACAGTACTTGTAACAGTACTACAGTACTTGTAACAGTATACAGAAACTTGTAACATACTAACAGTACCTGTAACAGTACTACAGTACTTGTAACGTACTACAGTACTTGTAACGTACTAACAGTACCTTAACAGTACTACAGTACTTGTAACAGCACTACAGTACCTGTAACAGTACTCAGTACTTGTAACAGTACTACAGTACCTGTAAACAGTACTTACAGTACCTGTAACAGTAACTACAGTACTTGTAACAGTACTACAGTACCTGTAACAGTACTACAGTCCTGAACAGTACTACAGTACTTGTAACAGCACTACAGTACCTGTAACAGATACAGTACTTGTAACAGTACTACAGTACCTGTAACAGTACTACAGTACCTGTAACAGTACTACAGTACTTGTAACAGTACTACATTTACTTTGTAACAGTACTACAGTACCTGTGACAGTATCACAATAACCTGTAACAGTACTACAGTACTTGTAACAGTACTACAGTACCTGTAACTGTACTACAGTACTGAAAACAGTACTTCAGTCCTGTAACATTTACTACAGTACCTGTGACAGTACTACAGTACTTGTAACAGTACTTCAGTACCAGTAACAGTACTACAGTACCTGTAACAGTACTTCAGTACCAGTAACAGTACTACAGTACCTGTAACAGTACTACAGTACTTGTAACAGTACTACAGTACTTGTAACAGTACTTCAGTACCTGTAACAGTACTACAGTACTTGTAACAGTACTACAGTACCTGTAACAGTACTACAGTACTTGTAACAGTACTACAGTACCTGTAACAGTACTACAGTACCTGTAACAGTACTACAGTACCTGTAACAGTACTACAGTACTTGTAACAGTACTACAGTACCTGTAACAGTACTTGTAACAGTACTACAGTACTTGTAACAGTACTTCAGTACCTGTAACAGTACTACAGTACTTGTAACAGTACTTCAGTACCTGTAACAGTACTACAGTACTTGTAACAGTACTACAGTACTTGTAACAGTACTACAGTACCTGTAACAGTACTACAGTACTTGTAACAGTACTACAGTACCTGTAACAGTACTACAGTACTTGTAACAGTACTACAGTACTTGTAACAGTACTACAGTACCTGTGACAGTACTACAGTACTTGTAACAGTACTACAGTACTTGTAACAGTACTACAGTACCTGTGACAGTACTACAGTACTTGTAACAGTACTACAGTACTTGTAACAGTACTACAGTACTTGTAACAGTACTACAGTACTTGTAACAGTACTACAGTACTTGAAAACAGTACTACAGTACTTGTAACAGTACTACAGTACCTGTGACAGTACTACAGTACTTGAAAACAGTACTACAGTACCTGTGACAGTACTACAGTACTTGTAACAGTATTCAGTACCTGTAACAGTACTACAGTACTTGTAACAGTACTTCAGTCCCTTTGACAGTACTACAGTACTTGAAACCCTTACTACAGTCCTGTGCCCATTTACTCCCAGTACTTGTAACAGTACTACAGTACCTGGGGACAGTACTACAGTACTTGTAACAGTACTACAGTACTTGTAACAGTACTACAGTACTTGTTAACATTTACTACAGTATTGTAACGTACTACAGTACCTGTGACAGTACTACAGTACTTGTAACAGTACTACAGTACTTGAAACAGTACTACAGTACTTGTAACGTACTACAGTACTTGTAACAGTACTACAGTATTTTGTAACAGTACTACAGTACTTGTAACAGTACTACAGTACTTGTAACAGTACTACAGTACCTGTGACAGTACTACAGTACTTGTAACAGTACTACAGTACTTGTAACAGTACTACAGTACTTGTAACAGTACTTACAGTACCTGTGACATTTACTACAGTACTTTTTAACGTACTACAGTACTTGTAACAGTACTACAGTACTTGTAATAGTACTACACTATTTATAACAGTACTACAGTACCTGTAACAGTACTACCTGGTACTGAGACTGGACATAGCAGCAGTAACAGCAACAACAGCAGTAGCGCCCATGATCGTGTGTGATGGGGTACTTTCATGCTGGTTGCTGGTCTGCAAGAACACACGCAGATTTGAGATCGTCTCGCAAACGCTTCCAAGCGGTTTCATACGCCCGAAGTGGTTTCTTGCACCTCGAAGTGATTTCTTGTACCTCGAAGTGATTTCTTGCGCCTTGAAGTGGTATCACCACCTTCGAAGTGTTTTCGCCACTTTCTTCCCTGGTTTCGTGCCCTTCAGAGCAAGAGTTTTCTTTTTAAATCCCACAATTCAAATTCAGAGTTTCTTCCCACACTTAGAAACAAGGGTTCCCCCTCCCCCCAGCACTCTCTGAAGTGCAGCTTACCAGCACTTTGAGCTCTCACTCTCACGAGGGCTCACATCTGAGCTCTCAGAAGCTCAGATCTTTCTGACATTGTGTCTGACTATCACCGCTACTTCACTATTCTTGTGTCACACACCCAGCTAACACACGAAAGTTCTCAGTCTACTGTAGTAGGTTGGGCGGTCTTGTCCCGGCCTGGGTCTTTTCCAGGTAGTGACCCGGTGACCTTAATCTACAGTACGTAGATGTAGATAGCTCTTGCCAGCAGGCAGCCCCCGTGTGGACCTTCTGAAGTACTCTTGCCAACTGTCCTTCACTTGTACTCACTGGTACTCCTGCCATTTGCCACTTGTCAAGCTCTGGTTTAAATGCACTGAGTTCCTGTGAGAAATAAACCACGAGAAAACTCTCTAGTTAAGATTTAGAAAAAAATTGGTTCATTTTGAGAAAGGTCTTCCTGCCATGGCCCTTGAGACCTAGCAGGAATCCATGAGGCTTAGCAAGGGTCCATGAGGCCTAGCAAGGACTCATGAGGCCTAGCAAGGGCCATGAGATCTCCTGCGGTACTTTTTCTTCGTAAAAACACAATGGTTTTTACTCTTTTTAAAACAAGTTTTATAATCACTTCGTTATATCGCAAAACGTAAACAGAATACTAGTAGAATTTTCACTACGTTAATTTCGGGGGACGCGCGGTGCACGGTAAGGGGACCAAGGATCGTGGAAGCTTGAAGGTGCGCAGCGGCCGCTCTGGTATTGACGGGCAGAGTGCTGTGCTTCTGAGTGGCTGTGTTCAGACACGGCTCTCCCAGCCTCCACCTCCAGCCTGCGCAGCCGCTCTCACTGTGTTGTGGAGGGAAGGGTAGGGTGACTGTGTTATGGAAGGAGGGGAGGGTAACTGCGTTGTGGAGGGAAGGGAGGGTGACTGTGTTATGGAGGGAGGGGAGGGTGACTGTGCTGTGGAACGAGGGAAGGGTGACTGTTGTGGAGGGAGGGAAGAGTGACTGTGTTGTGGAGGGAGGGGAGGGAGGCTGTGTTGTGGAGGGAGCTGAGGGTGACTGTGTTGTGGAGGGAGGGAAGAGTGACTGTGTTGTGGAGGGAGAGGAGGGGGACAGTGTTGTGGAGGGAGGGAAGGCTGACTGCGTTGTGGAGGGAGGGAAGAGTGACTGTGTTGTGGAGAGAGGTGAGGGTTTACTGTGTTGTGGAGGGAAGGAAGGGTGACTGTGTTGTGGAGGGAAGGAAGGGTGACTGTGTTTGGAGGGGGGTGAAAGTGACTGTGTCGTGGGGGAGGGAAGAGTGACTGTGTTGTGGAGGGGGAGGGAAGGGTGACTGCGTTGTGGAGGGGGGGAAGGGTGATGCGTTGTGGAGGGGGGGAGGGTGACTGTGTTATGGAGGGAGGGGAGGGTGACTGTGTTGTGGAGGGAGGTGAGGGTGACTGTGTTGTGGAGGGAGGGGAGGGTGACTGTGTTATGGAGGGAGGGGAGGGTGGGCTGTGTTGTGGAGGGAGGGGAAAGGGGGACTGTGTTGTGGAGGGAGGGAAGAGTGACTGTGTTGTGGAGGGAGGGGTTTTGGGTGACTGTGTTGTGGAGGGAGGGGAGGGTGACTGTGTTGTGGGGGACGGAAGGGTGACTGTGTTGTGGAGGGAGGGAAGAGTGACTGTGTTTGTGGAGGGAGGTGAGGGTGACTGTGTTGTGGAGGGAGGGGAAGGGTGACTGTGTTGTGGAGGGAGGGAAGAGTGACTGTGTTGTGGAGGGAGGTGAGGGTGACTGTGTTGTGGAGGGAGGGAAGGGGGGACTGTGTTGTGGAGGGAGGGAAGAGTGACTGTGTTGTGGAGGGAGGTGAGGGGGACTGTGTTGTGGAGGGAGGGAAGGGTGACGTGTCGTGGAGGGAGGGGGAGGGTGACTGTGTTGTGGAAGGAAGCTTTAGGGTGACTGTGTTGTGGAGGGAGGGAAGGGTGACTGTGTTGTGGAGGGAGGTGAGGGTGACTGTGTTGTGGAGGAAGGTGAGGGTGACTGTGTTGTGGAGGAAGGTGAGGTGACTGTGTTGTGGAGGGAGGTGGGGGGTGACTGTGTTGTGGAGGAAGGTGAGGGTGACTGTGTTGTGGAGGGGGGAAGGGTGACTGTGTTGTGGGGGGAGGTGAGGGTGACTGTGTTTTTGGTGGGAGGGATGGGTGACTGTGTTGTGGGGGAGGGAAGGGTGACTGTGTTGTGGAGGGGGGGAAGAGTGACTGTGTTGTGGAGGGAGGGGGAAAGGGTGACTGTGGGTTTTGGTGGGAGGGATGGGTGACTGTGTTGTGGAGGGAGGGAAAGAGTGACTGTGTTGTGGAGGGAGGTGAGGGTGACTGTGTTGTGGAGGAAGGTGAGGGTGACTGTGTTTGGAGGGAGGGAAGGGTGACTGTGTTGTGGAGGGAGGTGAGGGTGACTGTGTTGTGGAGGGAGGGAAGGGTGACTGTGTTGTGGAGGGAGGTGAGGGTGACTGTGTTGTGGAGGAAGGTGAGGGTGACTGTGTTGTGGAGGGAGGGAAGGGTGACTGTGTTGTGGAGGGAGGTGAGGGTGACTGTGTTGTGGAGGGAGGGAAAAAGTGACTGTGTTGTGGAGGGAGGGAAGGGTGACTGTGTTGTGGTGGGAGGGATGGGTGACTGTGTTGTGGAGGGAGGGGAAAGAGGGATGTGTTGTGGGGAGGTGAGGGTGACGTGTTGTGGTTTTGGGAGGGGGAAGAGTGACTGTGTTGTGGGGGAGGGGAAAGGGTGACTGTGTTGTGGAGGGGGGGAAGAGTGACTGTGTTGTGGGGGGAGGTGAAGGGTGACTGTGTTGTGGAGGGAGGGAAAAGTGACTGTGTTGTGGAGGGAGGTGAGGGTGACTGAGTTGTGGGGGAGGGAAGGGTGACTGTGTTGTGGAGGGAGGGAAGGTGACTGTGTTGTGAGGGAGGGAAGGGTGACTGTGTTGTGGAGGGAGGGAAGAGTGACTGTGTTGTGGGGGGAGGTGGGGGGTGCTGTGTTGTGGAGGGGGGAAGAGTGACTGTGTTGTGGAGGGAGGTGAGGGTGACTGAGTTGTGGAGGAGGGAAGGGTGACTGTGTTGTGGAGGGAGGGAAGAGTGAATGTGTTGTGGAGGGAGGGAAGGGTGACTGTGTTGTGGAGGGAGGGAAGGGTGACTGTGTTGTGGGGGGGAGGGAAGGGGACTGTGTTGTGAAGGGAGGGAAAGGGTGACCGTGTTGTGGAGGGGGAAGGGGTGACTGTTTTTGATGTTGAGGACTGGAGGGAGGGGGGGACTGTGTTGTGGAGGGAGGGGAGGGTGACTGTGTAGTGGAGGGAGGGAAGGGTGACTGTGTTGATGTTGAATACTGAGAGAGAGGGTGACTGTGTTGTGGAGGGAGGGGAGGGTGACTGTGTAGTGGAGGGAGGGGAAAGGGGGGACTGTGTTGTGGAGGGAAAGGAGGGTGACTGTGTTGTGGAGGGAGGGAGGGTGGGCTGTGTAGTGGAGGGAGGGGAAGGGTGGACTGTGTTGTGGAGGGAGGGAAAAGGGTGACTGTGTTGTGGAGGGGGGGGGGAAGGGTGACTGGTGTAGTGGAGGGAGGGAAGGGTGAACTGTGTAGTGGAGGGAGGGAAGAGTGACTGTGTTGTGGAGGGAGGGAAGGGTGGGCTGTGTAGTGGAGGGAGGGAAGGTGACTGTTGTTTGTGGAGGGAGGGAAGGGTGACTGTGTATGGAGGGAGGGAAGGGTGACTGCGTTGTGGGGGAGGTTAGGGTTTACTGTGGGTTTTGGAGGGGGAGGTGAGGGGTGACTGTGTTGTGGAGGGGGGAGGGTGACTGTGTTGTGGAGGGAGGGAAGGGTGACTGTGTTGTGGAGGGAGGGAAGAGTGACTGCGTTGTGGAGGGAGGTTAGGGTGACTGTGTTGTGGAGGGAGGTGAGGGTGACTGTGTTGTGGAGGGAGTGAGGGTGGACTGTGTTGTGGAGGGAGGGATAGGGTGGGCTTGTTGTGGAGGGGGGAAGGGTGACTGTGTTTTGGAGGGAGGTGAGGGGTGACTGTGTTGTGGAGGGAGGTGACGGTGACTGTATTGAGGAGGGAGGGAAAGGGTGACTGTGTTGTGGAGGGGAGGTGAGGGTTGATGTGTTTTGGAGGGGGGGAAGAGTGACTGTGTTGTGGAGGGGGAAGGGTGACTGTGTTGTGGTGGGAGGGATGGGTGACTGTGTTGTGGAGGAGGGAAGGGTGACTGTGTTGTGGGGGAGGTGAGGGTGACTGTGTTTGTGGAGGGAGGGAAAGGTGACTGTGTTGTGGGAGGGAGGTGAGGGTGACTGAGTTGTGGGGGAGGGAAGGGTGACTGTGTTGGGGGAGGGAAAGGGAAGAGTGGGCTGTGTTGTGGAGGGGAGGGAAGGGGGACTGTGTTGTGGAGGGAGGGAAGGGGTGACTGTGTTTGGGGGGGAGGTGAGGGTGACTGTGTTGTGGAGGGAGGGAAGAGTGACTGTGTTGTGGAGGGAGGTGAGGGTGACTGGTTTTTGGAGGGAGGGAAGGGTGACTGTGTTGTGGAGGGAGGGAAGAGTGACTGTGTTGTGGAGGGAGGGAAGGGTTGACTGTGTTGTGGAGGGAGGGAAGGGTGACGTGTTGTGGAGGGAGGGAAGGGTGACTGTGTTGTGGAGGGAGGGAGAGTGACTGTGTTGTGGGGGGAAGGTGAGGGTGACTGTGTTGTGGAGGGAGGGAAGGGTGACTGTTTGTGAAGGGAGGGAAGGATGACCGTGTTGTGGAGGGAGGGAAGGGTGACTGTTTTGAAGTGAGGCTGAGAGGGAGGGTGACTGTGTTGTGGAGGGAGGGAGGGTGACTGTGTAGTGGAGGGAGGGAAGGGTGACTGTGTTGTGTTGAATCTGAGAGAGAGGGTGACTGTGTTTGTGGAGGGAGGGGAGGGTGACTGTGTAGTGGAGGGAGGGAAGGGTGACTGTGTTGTGGAGGGAAAGGAGGTGGGGCTGTGTTTTGGAGGGAGGGGAGGGTGATGTGTAGTGGAGGGAGGGAAGGGTGACTGTGTTGTGGAGGGAGGGAAGGGTGACTGTGTTGTGGAGGGAGGGAAGGGTGACTGTGTTGTGGGGAGGGAAGGGGGACTGTGTGTGGAGGGAGGGAAGAGTGACTGTGTAGTGGAGGGAGGGAAGGGTGACTGGTAGTGGAGGGAGGGAAGGGTGACTGTGTGTGGAGGGAGGGAAGGGTGACTGTGTGTGGAGGGAGGGGGGGGGTGACTGTGTAGTGGAGGGAGGGAAGGGTGACTGTGTAGTGGAGGGAGGGAAGGGTGACTGTGTTGTGGAGGGAGGGAAGGGTGACTGTGTAGTGGAGGGAGGGAAGGGTGACTGTGTAGTGGAGGGAGGAAGGGTGACTGTGTTGTGGAGGGAGGAAGGGTGGGCTGTGTTGATGTTGAGGACTGAGAGGGAGGGTGGGCTGTGTTGTGGAGGGAGGGGAGGGTGACTGTTTCTATGGAGGGAGGGAAAGATGACTGTGTTGTGGAGGGAGGAAGGTGACTGTGTTGTGGAGGGAGGTGAGGGTGACTGTGTTGTGGAGGGAGGGGAGGGTGACTGTGTTGATGTTGAGGACTGAGAGGGAGGGTGACTGTGTTGTGGAGGGGAGGGGAGGGTGACTGTGTTGTGGAGGAGGAAGAAGGGGAACTGTGTTGTGGAGGGAGGTGAGGGTGACTGTGTTGTGGAGGGAGGGGAGGGTGACTGTGTTGATGTTGAGGACTGAGAGGGAGGGTGACTGTGTTTTTGGAGGGAGGGGAGGGTGACTTTTGCTATGGAGGGAGGGAAAGGGTGACTGTGTTGTGGAGG